AGATATGATTTGTTTTGTGTTCATATTTTAACATGTGCAAATTTTAGTAAATTCCTGAAAATAACTGATAAGACCCAACAGCATCGGCAACTGCAGCTACTGCAATTGCCACTGAGTGCACTACCTATGCAATGTTGATGTGTTGTGACATGCTTATTTCTATTTTTATGAGAATTTGCTGCATGATTAATTTATCCAATAAAAATGGAGTGCGACTGAAATTTGATTTTTGCCACCAGGTGAAATAAAATGTGTGGATGGTGGGATAAGCACATCTCTTTTAAATGGTTTTTCATAGTTGTTTGAATAATTTCCATCTATCGTATATTCAGGAGTGAAGTGAGGACATGAACATTAAAAAAAATAGAAAAATATAAAATATACCATTAGATTTTGGTTCCTACCTATGCTTTGAGTCTGTGTGTGTGTATTAATTGAATTTCATTGCATTTTCTGCATGTTTGCATTAGGACACAAAGCATTTTAAAGCTATTGTAGAGATATTACAACATGTAACAGCTTTATAGAATTGATATAATTATTTGTGTTCACATTCCTTTATTGTAATGAAGTGGCTATTGTTAATGAAGAATGAATCAAATGCTTTAACAGCATACAACATTTTAAAATTGTGATAAGATGAATTTGAAGAGTTTCATTTGTGTTGGTGCAATATTTGCTGGTGTCAATGTTACAATGTTTTTTTTTTGTGAGAGTCACAACTCACAAAGACAATAAATGTACCTACCTAATGGCAATGAAGAACTGATTGAGCTGGCTGTAATTGATCTCTTCTTGGATCAGAAACTTAATAAGCTATCTTTACATAAGTACCACAATTACTATTTTAATTAAATAGTGAATATGTATCACATTTACATGTATAAACATAAACAAAGTCATTGATGACTGTATGAGGGATTACATTCACAATCATTGATGATACTGTGGATGCACCATATGTCTTTAGAGCCCAAACTATTTGTGAGGTTTATCATTAGCCTAAAAGAGTCTGTTTTATCTTGCTTATTAATTTTTTGAAAGGGTATCAGAGTGATTGCACCCGTTTTTGTTTCAGCAAAGCCGGATTCTAGCATGGGTGATCCGATCGTCAACTATCAGTTACGCGTCATCCTCATAGGTGACACCACCGTCGGCAAGACGTGTATGCTGCGTTACTTCACCGACGGACACTCGCCCGATGACGCTAAGGTGGGGAGACTCGGCAGTCGGCGACTCTGAAAGATGAACTTTTAACATAGCACTTATGTATGTGATATATTAAGTGAATATAGATAGTGTCTTTGCTGGTTCGCACGCCTGTTCTATTTTCGGACGGTGTCGCTGTGCTGGGGAGCCTGTTCGCGTGCGGGTCCAGTTTTTACGCAGCGGCCACTTGATCCGCCGGCCGCGGCTGAGTGCAGTACGCTGTCCGGACTGTCGCTCCCGCTGGGTCCGATTACGACCGGTGTGTGGGTGACACCCCTCCCCTCCCCGCTGCCACCAGATATACGATCCGACAGTGGGCGTGGACTTTTTCTCTCGGTTCGTCACGCTGGAGGACCAGACGCGGCTAAAGTTACAGATCTGGGACACAGCTGGCCAGGAGCGGTTCAGGTCAGCTCACCGGACCAGACCAGACCAGACCAGACCAGACCGGACCAGACCGGATCAGACCAGACCAGACCAGACCAGACCAGACCAGACCAGACCGGCCGCTCGTGGTCCCAGGGTGGAAGGAGAGCGGGCGGGGCAATGAAAACGAGCAGCGAGTTTTGAACTCATGCTCGGTCTTGAATCAGCCTGTGTAGACATAAGTTTTCCCCATTTCTCATTTGTATACGTTTGTGGCGAGCGGAGCAAATCAAACCAAAATTAATTGGGCATAACTGACTAAGCATAGATGTATTTACCTATATTACCGGACACAGACCAGCTGCGTCCAGGATATGTTTGCAGTTCCAACTTAACCAGCCGGTCGCCGGTATCGATATCAGATATCCAGTGTAACCCCGCTCCCATTTGCAGCTATACTATACGCCCGATCTTCGATTTGACCGTTTCCCGTGTTAACCCTATGGCGCACGCGAGCGCGTGCTGACGGCGCACCCCTGGTCCGATCACGCCCAAATTTTAATACAAAGGCCGCCCACGCCCACAGATTTGGCATGCCAATGTTTGCAGTTCCAGTTATGTTGGAACAGTTTGCAGTTGCAGTTATGTTTGCAGTTCCAACTTAACCAGCCAACTTAACCTTAACCACTTACTTAAACTTAAACTTAACAACTTAAACTTAACGACGTGAGCTAACTTAAACTTAACAACTTAAACTTAACCAGCCAACTTAACCAGTTCCAACTTAACCAGTTTCCAGTTTGCAGTTGCAGTTATGTTTGCAGTTCCAACTTAACCAGCCGGTCGCCGGTATCGATATCAGATATCCAGTGTAACCCCGCTCCCATTTGCAGCTATACTATACGCCCGATCTTCGATTTGACCGTTTCCCGTGTTAACCCTATGGCGCACGCGAGCGCGTGCTGACGGCGCACCCCTGGTCCGATCACGCCCAAATTTTAATACAAAGGCCGCCCAATACAAAGGCCGTTAATACAAAGGCCGTTTATAGTATTTGTTAACCCTATGGCGTTAGCTCACGGCGTTTGTGTTTTCTGCAGGTCCATCACACAGTCGTACTACCGTAACTCGGTGGGCGTCGTGCTGGTGTTTGACCTCTGCCAGCGCACCTCGTTCGAGCACATCCCCACGTGGATGATGGAGGCGCGGCGCAGCATCGAGCCGCGCGCGCCCACCTTCGTACTGGTGGGCAGCAAGGCCGACCAGGAGACGCGCAGGGAGGTCAGTCCTCTGCTGATAATTCAAATTTCAATGTCTGAAATGGTGTTAACCTGTTTCGTTTTTAGTATTTGAAGGATTGATTAAATGAAAATTTGTTGTTGACGCTCCAAATTTCCTTCCTTGGACATGTCTTCCTGGGACTCTCAGTTGATCAGTTGATTTCGATTTATCAATACTTTTAAATGCATTTTTCACCATCTTGTGTACTACAAGACAGAAAGTCTATGTATCAGGAGCCTGGCCGTAGCTCCCACTCGACTTTGACCCATACCTCTCCCAGCATGCACTAACGTCTCCCCTCCCCCTCCTGTCTAACCGACAGGTGATGACGGACGAGGCGCAGCGGTTCGCCGATCTGTACGACATGCCGTACGTGGAGTGCTCGGCCGTCAGCGGACACAACGTCTCGCTGGTGTTCGAGGTGCTGGCGGCGCGCGTCCGTGACCGGATCGTGGCCGGCCAGTACGACCCGGACGACAGCTGGGAGGGCGTGCGGCGCGGCTACAGCGCCGCCGACCAGGCGCCGCTGCGCGAGCCGCCGGCGGCCCGGCGGCGCGCCTGCTGCTAGCGCCGACACGCTCCGCCGGCGCCGCACGGGACGCCGGGGCGCTGCTCACCGGCCGCTGGAGCGGTGACTACTGCCTGGCGGATAGAGCGCTGCCCACCGACCGCTGACCGGCTGTTACTGATTGCTGAACGGTGGCTGACTGACCAGCCAGCTGACTGGAGGCTGGCCGACTGTAAGCCGACTGGCGACTGATACTGGCAATGTTGGAGTGCTGCTGTCAGCGGATGATGCAGGAGCGTAGCTCTGGCGACAACTGCCGAATACGGCCAGTACCGTGCGTACGAAGGAAGCGGTGCTGTTAATTCTGCCCGGCCGAGGCGCGGCCGCCGCTCGACGCGGCTCTGTGGCCAGCCGAGCGGCGGCGCTGCTGTCGGCTCTGTACCTGACTGACTGCCGGAGCGCGGCACCGCGGTCTGACCGCTCGAGCCGAGGGAGCCGCGCCGCGCGTACCGGCGGGGTGCTTGGTGGGGGTTTGTGGTTAATGGGAATCGAAAGACACTAGTTTTTGATCGTATTGTGATGGATTCTTGCCTGGGTACAGTAACTGATCCCCCTGTAATTATGCGCCAGTATATTGAGCCGATTAAGATGGTGCTAACTTGATACATGTCAGCTTCTTTTGCCGCAGTTTTGCGCAGATATATTTAATGTTATGCAGATCGATATACAAGCGTACCATGAACAGATCGCGCCTTATTACGCAATATTTGTGATTTTTGCTGAGTCATCCCATATATAGAGCTGTTTTTATTGTTACTCTGATATCTCTGTATGGTGGCTTTAATTGTCGGCATGAGGCTAGTCCTTTTGACGCTCGTGTCTGTCGTCCGCGATGTAACGTTTCGGGTTTGATTTCGGGTTGCCGTCGACTGCCGGGCCGCTCGCTGTTTCTCGCGCTGCCCACTAAGAGTGCTCAGGTCCCGGTGCTGCAGTTCCCGTTCCCCTGCGTTGGCTGCAGCGCCGGGCGGGCTGTGCTGTGCCCACCGCCGCGCGCAATAAGGATCGGTTGTTGGAGCTCGCTGAACGGCCGGGCGCTCGGGGTTGCCCGATCGTCACTCTAGTCCGTAGGACGCGCGGTAGTGCCTAGACGAGCTGCGCGGCGCCGCCGGCGCGATGGCAGCTGCCGTACCGACCCGACCCGCCGCAGTAGGAGTGTAGCCGTCCCCGAACCCACAGTGATAAATACAGTACGACCTCGAGACCGTGTCTGTCGGCGCTGTCGTCCCGCGAAGGCCGCCGGTGACTGACGCCGGCCTCTCGGCACGGGGCCGGAACGCAGGGCTGGGATATGAGAGAGACAGACTGGCGGGGGGGGGGGGGGGATGTCGTGAGCCGAGGGCCGTCGGCCTTTCCTCAGAACAACCAAACGTTCAACCTGCACAGTCGTCGGATGCCTGTGGGCTGAAAATATCTACAACGGACATCCGCTGCGCCACATCCGCTGCTCTACGATAGCGCGCTCCACAACCACGATCAGCCAGTGACGTCACCCGCACGTACGACGCTCGGCGGGCCACGCCAGAGCGGCCGGGGAAGCCCCGCCCCCCAGGACCGCGTCGGTCGGCACTCAGAAGCCGCGGCCGGCGACCCTCGACCTCAGTGTTTGGCGCGCAGCCGACGGAGCAGGTCACACCTCCGCAGCGGACGCAACTCGGTCCCGACTCCGGCCGTTGGTGCAGAGCTGCTGTTCAGACTCGGACACAATCCCTGTGAGAAGTGCCCACCCAGGCCATCAGACAGTGCACCAGGCCGACCGGTCGCTCCTCCCAGGTCCCCGAACAGTGCGTGCGCCGGCCGGTGTTAGCGCCCTGCGGAGACTGCAGTCCAGCGTGCACGGCGGCACAGCCTACCCAGCCGGCGGCGTGTGCAGCGGCACAGTCTACCCCGCCGTCCGCAGGCGGCTGCCGCTGACTGATTTCACGGCGGCGTTCGGGGAATGCGATCGGCTTATTGAAGCGGGAGGAGCAAACCGGCAACAACGATGGTAAGTTGGATAATATTGCAGTCGATTTTGGCTGGTGCCAGCTAGGGCAGATTGATACGGCTTTCCTCTTTGTATGGGCGAGATTACCAGTCCCAGAGCCTGCCAGCTAGGTAAACGTAAACAATTTGGTACCTATAAAGGAAGTAGGTATACATGACTTATAATTAACAAACGTCACCGTTTTCAAGCTGCCTTGCAGCCTCTGTCATTGGTTGGGATAAATGAGGCTTAGTTTCTCGAACCAAGAATTAATCCTGGATGTCGATTATTTCTATTCTTGAGAGTTGGATTGATCTCTTGGTCTTGGCCAGATAAACTGCTGGCACAGAGCCGATGTCCCCGACGTGAAATATTGACCCAGGCAGGCTCAGCTGGAACATGGTCTACGACCTAAGCAACCTAAGCTTTTGTGGACTTGCATCTGGTCATGTAGGCACTAGACAAAGCGTTAACTATGTAATTTGTCGATTTTCAGTATTTACCTAAGTGTTGTTGGGCTTCTCGCCATTGCCTGAAGTTTGAACATTGCAAAAGAAGTGCCGAGTCAACTTCCTGTTATTTCTTCAAAAGAAGTGTCGAGTAACAAAGTGTTAATGTTTGAAGCTATATGTCACCCAGCGGGTATAATCAGGCAGCGTTTAAATTGTTGCGAAGTAAATGAGATGGGATCAGATATATTTAATGACTGTCATACACAGAATGTGTTATTAAGAGCGAGCGCGAACCGCAAAACTAGTCATTTTTAATTGTAACGGCCAACGGGAAACCCTCACTGAGCGACCCGGCCCTATAACGGTTTTGAGGGGCTAATGTCTCAGCAACCGCCGCGCTGGCCCGATTAAGCTGTGGCCTTTTTATTGGGTACCTACCCATCCCTTCTACCCCGTACCTATTTAACTACTCTCGATGCATCTAGGTGATCATCATGGCACGTTGACGTGGACGTGGTACACGTTGACGTTGTACCACGTGAAAAGTCAAGGTGGTCCAAGTTGTTCTGCTGAAGTAGCGCTTTTGAGAGGCCTGTATCTCAGCAACCGCTGTGCTGTTGACTTGCGGTATTTTTGTAGCGGCTGCATCCCTATATCAAGCATCGGACCACTCTCGACATGCAAGGCACATGGGTGACCTCCACTGGACGTGACTCACGTGCCATATGTATGCAAAATGAAAACAAAGTTTGTTCCCATTACAATAAGTTGGTACCTAATTACTGGGGCCTTTGATCCAGCTTGCACGTGCGCACGTGCAGGAGGCCGCTTCCACGTCTCGAAAACAGCTGGGCTGGGCCGATAGCTCTCAAATTAGGTACGCTGCTAGACGTCGGTTAGAAGGGTGCCGACTGCCGTGCACAAGTCAGCTGGAAGTCCTCTTAGCACTTCCGCACGTGCGGGGCTCACTCTCGCGCTCCCTCGTTTGTCGCCCAAAAAGGTGTTTAATTGGTGGTTAGATTGTTTAGTCTTACCTGCACCGCGTACCATTGTTTTCACTTGTAAAATGCAGGCACCATACCGCAACGTATCGTTGGCCCAGTCGCCGCCCGTTCTTCCCTCCCCCGCTGACGGTCCGCCCGGTGTCCTGCACTCACAGAGCCGGCAGCGGCCCGCCTCGTCATTGGTGCGCGCCGATGACGTCTTCTACGAGCTGACCGAAATCAACGACTACATCGTGCTGGGCGGCGCGCCGGCCGTCACCGTCGACCGGATCCGCGCGCTGGGCGTCACGTGCGTCATCAACGTCACGCCGCTGCCCAACCTGCCCATCAGCGGCGTCGACTACCTGCGCATCCCCGTGGAGGACGTGCCGACGGCGCCGCTGGCCGCCCACTTCGACACGGCCGCCGACACGATGGAGCGGCACCGGCGGCGCGGCGGCCGCACGCTGGTCCACTGTGTGGCCGGTGTCAGTCGCAGCGCCTCGCTGGTGCTCGCCCATCAGGTCAAACACGCCGGCCTGTCGCTGCGCGAGGCGTTCGCGCGGGTGCGCGCGCGCCGCCGGGTGGTGCGGCCCAACGCCGGCTTTTTCGCGGCGCTGGTGGAGTATGAGCGCCGGGTGCGCGGCGCCGCGTCCGTGCGCATGGTGCCGCACCCGGCCGGTGGCGCCGAGCTCATCCCCGACGTCTACGAGGTCGAGTACCGGCGCCTGATCGGCTGGGCCGACTGGCTGCGCTCCAAGGGCCTCGGTGAGCGCTGGGGCTGGGACTGGATCCTCCGGTGGCGAGACAGGGCACGGGCACGCATCCTAGAGGCTAACACTCAGAAAGAGAAGTAGTTAAAGGTGCGTTTTAAGACAAAAATGTGATGATTTGTAGACAATATCCTAGATTTTTCGACACAAGGTTGCTGTTCGACTCGCTTCACGAATAGGACCCCCAATTCCCAGTGCTCTAGAGCCGCCCCTGGTAAAGTTATGAACTTGAAATTTTCAGGGAATGTGCCCAATTTAGTTTTAGGAATAGTCAGAAAATTTCAGCATCGTAGCTTCAGCGGTTTCGGAGATATTCCCGAAAGTCCTGAGGGGTGGATAAAAACAACCCCCCCCCCCTTTCACTAATAGGGTTAACATCCTTATAAATCCTAAGTCCGCCCCAATAGCTCATTTGGTCTTGGGAATGTTTGTCTCCAGAACCGATTAATCCGCTTCGGCGCTTGCTTATATATTCTGGACAATGTCATAAATCGCTTAATTAAATTATCGATGACATTTGTGAGTAAGAATACGGATGTCCAGTCATGCGAAATGATTGATTAATTTCTTATTGCGAATATGACCATCTTTGAAATTTTACACGCTGTGTTTTGTAAGACGATGAATCACTTACCAGGGTTACATGAGAAAGTAAATGCGTATCGGGAACGGATTTTCCTATTCACTCACCATTGTAGTCCTTTGTGATACGCCTTTACTCTGCTCACCCCGGTAACTGTCACCATCCCGTTGGAATTGGCATCGCATATCAGAAAGTACCTATCATGTAAGACAGCAACTGACATTTAGTAACTCATCTAAGTGGACCTTATCAAAAGGTGTTGAGTACAATGCAGTCCCGTTAATCGTTGGCTAATGCAGCTTGAAACAGACTGTTATTGCACCCATCGGCGCGCCTGCGGAACTCCTCCGCGTGTGTTCGCCTTGTCAAACACGCGTAGCGATCACCGCCGGACTGTGTTTGGCACCGGGTGATTAGCGTTGCGCAGATACGGGAGAGGGCATTCCGCGGCAGCGCTTTGCTTGGCTCGGCGGCCCGTGTCACGTCTCTTTGGCGGGCGCAGCTAACAATGGCTGACGCGAGCGACGGCCCGTGCCAGCTGACCTTCGAGACCAGAGTGCGCCGCGCCTGAGGTATCGACCTCGGGTCGAGCCGGCCGTATCGATCCTAACCCCCCCCCCCCTCCCCCACGGCCGTCGCGCGCTCGGTGCGGTCCGACGCCCTCCCCTCCCCTCCCCTATCTACACCGTAGGAGAAGGTGGGGTAAGACGGACCAGCTAAGGTTTGAGGCCGCATATCTTTCTACACTGCTCTCGTAACTCATATTGTTTATAGTCTTCTGAATGCTCAATCCTTCCTCTTTTGATGTGTGCAAAGACTGAATTTCAAAATAAAGACATCTAGGTGGTGGATGCTCTTAAAGGGGGACATGTCGAAAACTCAGACAAGAAAAAACGCGGGTTAAGACGGACCACCCAGAAGTGCCTGCTATCCATTCATGCTTGGTACAGTTCTAATCTGTACTCGAGTAAGTAGAGTGGTAAAATAACAAAATGAACCTTTATTCTATGCTCATATGTTATGGAAGTGCAACTAAAAGCTGGGAACATGTGTGTTGATTGTCGTTTGGCATGAATGCATGCTAGCTAGCATTTGCAATGGTCCATGTGCAACAAAGACTCCTTCCTGAAAAATTGGCTTACTTAAACTTGTGTCAATGCTTTAGAAAAGAATTTTCCATATGATGGGTACAATGGACCACCGCAGGGTAAGATGGACCACAGTGGTCCGTCTTGCCCCATATCTAAATTCTGTCATTATCATGACGTGTATGTCAAATAGCCCAACATTGCGAAACCTTGCCTGTTCTAAAGTGTGACTATAACCAAGTTTATAATTTTGTTCTTCACCGTTAAGTGCAAAATAGAAACTAATCATGCAATAAAGGCGCCGAAATTGAATCACCCGTAGACCTCTTATATTAGATCGGTTTGACGAAAAACAACATTTTTCTCAATAACTCAAAAGCTATGCATCCTAGCCTCATGAGCTCAAGGTGGCCATTGTTACGAAGGGAAACAAAGGTAGTGAGTGCATAAAGCAGTAGATAACAGCAGCGGTTCAGCCGGGAGGGCTGGTGGTCCGTCTTGCCCCGCTGGGCCGTCTTACCCCACCTTCCCCTACCCCTACAAACGACAGCGGAAGAGAGCTGTGTGGAAGAGATGTTCACCGTCTAACCTTTTGTGAGACGTGCTGTTTTCACTGTCGATTTTTCTACATTTATTGCTAAATACATGTTTTGTGAGTAACTGGTTTGTGTCACCATGATAACATTCTCCATATGCAGTATGCATGGTGGTCCCATATTTCTCCTTCAATATCCTACCAAATTTACTGCATTTGTCCCCCCCTGAGGTTTTTTTCGAAGTGCACGCTAAACGGCTTGTCGTAGCGGGCTGAAATTTTCAATACCCTCTGGGGCAGCCTTTGCGCATCTTTTGCCGAAAAAAAATTGATCGGGTCATGTCAGGTCACGGAGTTATGACGTCATAAGAGGTACAGCCTCCGGCCGACAGTTACCAAACGTGTGCGCCGAATCCCTAGGTTTTCTGCCGGTGATACCCACATTGTTTGATGGATCATGATGAAACTTCCCATGCATGTTGGGGCAAGCATTGGCTATCGTGTGGTGCAAGAAAATTGACCGGGTCAGGTCAGGTCACGGAGCTATGACGTCACAAGAGGAACAGCGTCCGGTACTATTTTTGAAAAGCGCCCGAACCACTATTTTGCTAATTCTTGTCACCTCAATGGGAATGTGCAGCAATATTAGCTTCTATAGGGAGCAAATGGACCTCCCAAATCCAAAAATACAATCAGATTTCAAAAATTTAAATTTTGATTTTTCGAATTTCTGCCGCCGACTGTGACCTTGCCGACTTCCGTCGCTTCCAACGCGCCATTTTTAGAGCTAGGGAAACGAAATACATACCAAACGATAGAGAATTGATCAAGGAACACGATAGTGAAGGTTTCAAGTCGAAATCTCCCACCGTTTTGCCGCAATCGCCGCGGAAAGTTGAAAAAGTTTGATTTTTTTTTTAGGCTAGTAGGCGTTCTCAATGCCCAAAGGAACACCTTTTGGCTGGCTACCTATACTACAATAAGCAATCTGATTGGCTGGCTCCTGCAGATGAAGTTTCGGATAAGATTGCCGTCGACGACAGATGTACATAATTAGCTTTTTATGACCAAAGACGGATCTGATTGGTTATCTGAATACGACCGGCGCCATTCAGCGAGACGGATTCCGTTCAAATGTCTCAGTCAGACATTTGGACAAGGATAGGTATAAGGTCCCGAGATGCCCATGGCTCACAACAAAGGCTAGGTAAGAGGCCAAGGTAGGCCAGAACCGCCATGGAAATATGACGTTTATACCAAACCAATAGGTGAAATTTCAACCAGCGCCATTTCTGGTCTAATTCACCGCCTTAGTTCCGCTCACGGCGCCCCTGGTCGCCGGCGGTCGGCTCTGGTCACGCCGTGCCCGTCTGGCGGCCGCTGTTGGTGGTCGGACGTCGGTGATCACCCCCAGGAGCACGTGGAGCTGCCGCCGAGCTGGCCGCTCTCCCGCGCCTCCTGGCACGCCGCTCCGGGTCGACATTCCGCCCGGGCCGCGCTGCGTCTCGTCGGCACCCAGTCAGACGTTCAGACCCCCTTCCGGCCGGCGCGAGCGGGACCGGGAGCCAAACCGACCGGAGAGACTAGTCAGTGAGTAATGACACGTGTGGGACGGATCGACGGAAAGGGGTTCGCTAGACGGTTATAAACGGAAACGGAAAACGCTAGCAGTGCCACAGTTGTGGAATGCTGATAATGAATGGATGAAATGGATGAAAACGTGGAAAACGATGTTCAACCAGCTACTGGTTAGATAACTTAAGAGCAACAAAAAGACTGCATTACGGATCTCACCCATGCAGGCGGCAGTCGCCCGCTCGTCCAGGCGCTTTTGGCATTTCCGCGACCTGAGCGTCATCTATGCCGTGAGCGTCTGCCAGAAGGGGGCGGCACCGCGACAGTCACCGTTCCAGCGGACCGGCGCCGGAACGGCTCGTCAGAGCGGCACCGCACTGCGGCCGTGACCTTTGCCCACCCGGAGAAATAATTTTACTTTATACCGGCGCCAATGGTCGGCACGTGCTCGGGTCAATGAGACGCCACCGGAGCGAGGACCGGGAGTGGGCGGCTGTTGTCTCTGGAAGCGTGCCGCGCGCGTCCCTCCTGCCAGCGCCGCACGCAGTCGGCTGTAGAGTTCTGCACGGCTGCAATTTTCCACAGCCTAGCCGCCCCGCAGCCGTGGCTCCACAGCCACAGCCGCCCACAGCCGTGGCAAACTGTGGGCAGCCAGCCGTCAGCCGGCCGTGGATACTTTCAATGAAATGCAACCAAATAGTATATCATAAGTTGTTTTAGTTGAAACATATAGCCAAAAGCACATTGCAAAAAATAGATTCTCAAGCTCATAAAGCATCATAGGTTAAGTGGTTGTGTATCTGGCTTTAGGCAGAAGGCCTGAAGCCTGATGCGCATCGCATGCCTACACAAGCCCTTGCAAGGGGTTAAGAAAGATGGGTAGGACTAGGTAGGTACCTATATCAACAGAAAACATAAACAAGGAACCAGAATAGAAGCACTAGCAGTGTAGACATCTAATGCCAAATCCTGAAGCATGGTTGTGGGACAGAACAACAGACCCTGATGCTTTTCATTATCAATGTTAGTTATGGAAAATGAAACTGAAGTTGATGGACTGTCAAACAGTGATTGTCTAGTCAAAACTCTTGCTTCTTTCTTACCTTGCATATTTTCTGGGGTGTGATATGCCAGGCTTGAAGCAGCCTTCTGAGCAAGTCTCAAACTAATTTGATATGCAAGGCATCAAAACACTAGTGAGCACTGAGCATCCAAGAAAGAAAAACATTCATCTATTTTGATATTGGGCCTGTTCCAGCGCCTCCAGAAGAAATTCTTGACTGGAGGCTCTACCAGAGGTTTTACTGGAGGCGCTGGAACGCAATCTGGAGATTTCTGGAGATTAGCGTCATAGATACCAAAAGAATGATGATTGTTCTCTCTTGAAACGCAAAATTTGTTTTCAATTTTAGTTAAAAAGATAAATAAAATGATAGCATTGTAATTTTCTTTACATTCAAGTTGTAAAATAATAAGTCAAATGTCCTTTGTTTACATTCGTGATTGTCACATGTGCACCATAATTGTAGACCAGAGCCTCCAGAGAAATTTGGACCTCTCAACTCTCTGGAGGCTACTGGAGGTTTCTGGAGCTTTGGCGAGAGCTTTCTGGAGCTTTCTGGAGGCGCTGGAACGCTCTCTGGAGGATTCTAGAGCTTTCTGGAGCTTTCTGGAGGTTTCTGGAGGCGCTGGAACAGGCCCAATGATCTTCGCTCAAATCCCCAAAGACGGCGAGCCACAATTGCCTCTTTTAATGAAAAATTTTACTTGAGTTTTTAATGACGTCAATAGCAAAGAAGTGGCAAAAAATTGTTTTATGTCACTATAAACAGCCATAAAAAAATTAAAAATAATAAATAATAATGCTATACAGTTAAAAACTTGTTCTCAAACAAAGATTAGGTATAAAAAAATTTACATTTTCAGTAGCAGACGTCATTTTATTAGTAAAGTCAACAGCTCGCGTAAGAAATATTGTGTTCAGGGTTTTCACCGTCATGTGAATTACGTGTTCAGGGTTTTCACCATCATGTGAATTAACCGTAAGTAAGGTTCATGCTCACTTATAATCTAATTCCATTGGCTTCGTTGATCAGCATTTTCTGTTAGCGGTCACTTACACACCAGTTAGAACATAAAGCGCCAGTTTTATATTATGTAATTGGACTTGCCGAAAATCCAGAAATACATCGAAGAGTTATTTTAGGTAATATTTTATGAAGCCTTTACCTGGCTTTACCTAGGCGTGATTTCTTTTTCTATTACCTCAAAGAATTATTGAACGCTCGTCTTCAATAGCTGTAAGGTGCTCTCCTAATGACCATGAGGTGAGATTGATTTGAGAGGGATGTGACAATGCAACATCAAACATGTTGCATTTTCTTAAACTGTCAAGCTCTTGATGATGAAGGAACAATTGGTACCTATAATTAGTATTCTGTACCAGAGTGCAAACTCCCCTACAGCAAGTGGTAAAACCATTACAGGTTTTCAAAGGCTTCACCACTTTCAATGTTGCTGGGCATCCTTTGCATGATTTTTACAGGCTAGACTGCTTATCAGAATGTAAGATTAAGGATTTAAAATTTTATATTTGAGTACTTAAGATTGAGCTTGAAATCTCACAGCCGTGGCCACAGCCGTAGCCGTGTTCTTGGAGATATTTGCAGCCGCCCCGGCCCACAGCCGTGGGGCTGCAGCCAGCCGCGGCTGCAGCCGGCCGGTGCAGACCTCTAGTCGGCTGCCATCAGACCCCGAGCCCGGCGCTTGTCGCCCACACGGAGCGCGGAAATACTCGAGCCGGCGCTGCTGTTGGAGCCGGCGCTCTCCATCAGGCGTCATATCACGGACAGGCGGCTGGCGGCCAGCCGACGGGCCGGGCTGTGGTCCCCGCTGACCGACACGCCTCCGCTAGACGGTCGGACCAGCGTGGTAATGAGGAGAGTTACGAGCGGTGGCCACTCCGCCAGAATGCACCGCTTAACACCGGACAGCCGTAGCGTCTCGGTCCGAGCTGCTCCAGGGGCAGGTCCCGGGACGACGTCCACAGGGACAATTGTTTACAAATGAGCGGCTTCGGAGGACGACAGCCGGGCGACGGTGACGGCAGGGCGACATTTGGCAGCCGCCCCTGCCGGTATCCCGCTGGTAACGGGAGAGCGCTGAGCCGCTCAGCTTTGCAGGCTTCATCACGCTGGTTCAGCCGCCAATTTCTAGGCAGGCAGGCTACTAATTTTGTTAAGTCATTTAAGTTGAGGTAGGTTAGCGCGTCTGATAATTAATAGAGGAAAAACTTTCCTTGGATTGAAACGAAGCAAAAATCGATAATAAATTGACTCAAAACCAATGCTAACATCACCAAAATAGCATTTTCATTGTCTAGGAACAAATCTCCTGTGTTTCACCACCCCTTTAACACTTGCGTCTCCTCTGTTTCACTGTCCGTCTTACAATGAATTTTCCCTGTTTCAGCCCACCGGGTGAACATTTTCCGGACGGGTCGGAAGGCGACTGAGGCCGACTGTCCTCCGCTGGAGAGCGCCGCGGGCAGTCGGGCCGACCTGAGCCCGGCCCCCATCGACACCCCGGCCGTCTCGTAGCGACTGTCAGCGGTCTCATCTTCTCTCAGAGCCGTCACTCACACACGCACCTCACCGCTGGTGGTGGGACACGCACAGAGCCGCCACAGAGGCGCACACGGGCGGGGCGAACCGGGGAGTGACGCCTCGCCGGGTCGGGTATCTGGTGCTGTGTCACGCAGTGCCAGGTATGGGGTATCATATACGGCAGGTCGGACCCGTTGAGCTTGGAAGGGGCGGACAGTGTGACAGGTGCCGTGTTCGGACGCACCGACAGGTGGGATCCGGTGACCGAACCGGTGTGATTCGGTGTCTGAACTGAAGGGATCCGGTGTTGGACAGTGCGGATCCGGTCTCCAAACCGGTGATATCCGGTGTTGGAGTGTTCGCGCTCGTGCCAGCGACCCGACTACTGCTGTCACGCGCCCTGTTGGCTCTTGTCACTCTCGTCTTTCATTTCCGCGCCCGGTCGTGTTGGTTTCGTCCGGCGTCGTGCACAAGCTCTATGCTACTCGGGGCGCGCGGGGGAGGGCCCGTATTCTGTTTCTAGAACGGCTACTGATGGTAGAATAGAGCGATGTGGGGCCAGCCGAGGTCGGCCAAATGGTATCGATGACGCTTTGCATGATCGATGTCTCAACATTGTTTCACCAGCTCGACAAGACCTTGTCATGTGTGTGCGCAACACAATGTCGTTGGTCATATGGGCATTTCCACTTATTTCGAAGCTCCAGTCTTATAGCTCAAGGCTGAATTGAATTTCCCCATTTTATGAAATTCTGTCCGGTCCGCAAAGAAGTATACAAAATTGACTTCTGTCTGTCTTTTCTGAACGATTGGATCATCGATATCAACTTTTATTTTGCACCGGTAAAACCAATTCTTTCAAATTCAAGTAGTAAGAAGTCCAAAATGTCCTACTAACTGCAATGTCTAACAAATCATGCATGCCAATGATTGACATCTGCTAATCCTGTGAGCCAAAACTCGTGTACTTTCGAGGCCCACAGTGCCTCATAAAAGCGGCTAACGTCGCCCATTTGCCTCCAGATTCGAGGCTTTGGTTGACCCACGATGTTTTTGTTTCCTTCGTGTACAAGAGTCGCACAACAATAAATATATTCACCAAGGGTACACGGCTTTTCATAAAGAACTGTTGTTGAATTGTGTACGAAGAAGACAATCGGCATCAGCCACTGTTTTTTTTTTTTTGCAAAGGTTCACGTACGTCGCTCTTTGTGCTTTAAAAAGGAGCACTTTTCTTTAAACGGTGCACGGTAAAATGCACAAACGATTCTACCTAAATAAAGATAAAAACAGGCGACTGCGAATCCTGAAATCTGTCTTCTAAAGCACAAAATGCATTGTTATTTATTCTGAAGGCATTGCGCCAGTTTGAAACGATAATATGCTGGAGGCCTTGCTCATTGACACATAAAGTTCAATGGGCAAGACACCACCTCATCCCTAACCGATGTAAGGGATGTTTCAATTTTCTACGGTAGCCTTAGCAATTTTCTAGGTGCCCGAAACCATCACCGTGCGGTCCACACGGCGTGTGAACACCGACGCTCTCAGTCTCGACCTTCTACAAGCCGACTGGTCCCAGCTGTACGGGGCTGACTCCACCACCAACATGTGGAACAGCTTCCTCGCCACGTGGAACCCCATCATCGACCGTCACATGCCGATGCGGACCATCCGAGTGAGGAACAGGCTGGGTCCATGGCTCGATGACGACACTGTGCGCGAAGCTATGGCTGCTCGAGACCAGGCTCGCGCCGACAGGGACCACACACCCTGTGACGTCACCGAAAGGGAGTTTCGGGAGAGCCGCAACGCAGTGAAGATGGCCATCAACCGAGCCAGCGCCGCCTTCTACGCCTCCTCATTCAGACACTCCCGCCCAAGGACCTGGAAGAGCGTCAGACAGTTCCTGATCTCGTCCCAGAAGACGCAGCACAGGGCTGTCGGCGATGCACCGGCGGACCCCGACTGGCCAGACCGTCTGAATCGGTTCTTTACTTCGGTCGGCTCCGATGTGGCTGGCGCGCTGGCGGAGTCCGATTCTGGTGCCCCCTTGCCGCCACGACCGCCGCGCGTGTGCGCCGGAGCGTTCTCGCCGGGTCCTGCCACACTGCCGGAGCTCAGTGCGGCGCTCCAGCGCATGAGCTCATCGAGGGCCTGCGGCTCAGATGGGATAACCGTACACATGCTGCGCTGTACCTTCCCAGTAGTTGGTCCGCACCTATTAAAGATTGTGAACCATTGTATCACTCGCTGCGACTTACCTGATCAGTGGAAGTCAGCCACTGTCACAGCACTGCATAAGAAAGGTGACACGTCGGACCCAAACAACTATCGGCCGATATCTGTGATCTCTGTCGTGGTCAAGTTATGTGAGCGGGTAGTCTGTACGCAGCTGGTGGCATACTTGACATCTCATCATGTACTCTGTCCTCAACAGTACGGTTTCCGGCAAGGACAGTCTACTGGGGCGGCGCTGCTCGACGCTGTCACTTTCGCGACTGACAACATCGATCGAGGCATGATGACGTCACTTGTGACAGCTGACACGTCTAAGGCATTCGATAGTGTCGAGCATGGCCGCCTCTTAGACAAGATGGAGTGGTACGGTGTGCGGCGCGAGTGGTTCGCAGCCTGGCTGCGGGGGCGTACGCAGACTGTGCGGGGCGGGTCGTGCTCGCTGGATGTTACGCATGGAGTGGTCCAGGGATCCATTTTGGGCCCCGTGCTGTTCATCCTCTTCACGAACGACCTGCCACAACACATACCCCATGGTAGGATCGTGATGTATGCTGACGACACCCAATTCCTTGACGCTGACATCCCATCTAACCTTGAAGCACTTAAAACGCGCATTGAAAGCTCTCTCGCTATTTCACTCAAATGGTTCACACAAAATCGGCTTAAAATCAACCCGACTAAGACAGAGATGACCATTTTAAGATCTTCCCGTCAGACAGTCCGTTCGGACTTTGCCGTTCACTTCGGCGGCGATGAAATTCTTCCCAAAGATAGTGTCAAAGTCCTGGGTGTCGTCATTGACCAACACTTGTCTTGGAGCTGTCACATTAGCTCAGTCGTCCAACGGTGCTACTGCGTGCTAGTGAGTCTTGCGCGTAATAGGCACAAACTACCAAAATGTGTCAGGCAACTTCTGATAGAGTGTCTCGTTTTCCCCCACATTCGTTATTGTTTAACAGTGTGGGGAGGGTGTAATGCAACCCAAAGGCAGCGCTTGCGAAAGGCCATCAACTTCGGTGTCCGCATTGTGACCGGCCTCGGCAGACGTGAACACGTCACGCCATCGCTGCGCGATCTAGGGTGGCTGAGTATCGAGGAGATGATAGCTGAACGTGATATTGCCACCATGCGCCGTCTCATCACCTGCCCCGACGCTCCTGAGATGCTGCGCCGCCGAGTGTTGGCGCGGTCCGATGTGTCCTCTCGCCGCACACGCGCCAGTGAGAGCGGGCAGGCTGAACTACCTCGAGTACGGACTGAGTTTGCCAAGCGCCGTTTCCTCTACCGTGCGTTGAAGGCTCTGAATGCTACGATGTAGCTGGAGCTCACCTAGATTGGGTGCGATTTTATAGCAACGGCCGTCTTTTACTGTCTCATTTATCGCCTTTTATCACACGAAGTGTATTGTATTGATGTGTTTTAACCATCACTTTTGTACTGACGTAGACGCTATATAATCCATGTCATGGAAGGTCTTAATACATTATCTATCTAGCCTTGCCTCAAGATACCAATCCATCGGTTAGCAACTTTGGCACCCACCCAAGCTTATTCTTGTATTTTAGTCTACTGAATCAACGCAAAGACATGTCATCTGCCATCCTACCAAGAGCTTTTGCCAAAAGTTTTTTCGGTTCATGTGACCTCCTTTTTCATAAACTTTTTGTGCTGTGTCCTTTTTAGTTTTTATGGACTGCTTCTGGCTTCTAGCCATCTACAGACAAAGGCCAAACAGCAATTTTTAGCGAGAGATCTCTCCATGGTTCGGAATGCACTGCTCGCCAGCACCGACTCCACCACGAAAACACTAAACTGAAAGTTTCATTAACGAGCAGAACCTTCACGGATGCGTCGGTCATGCACATCCTGCTATGTTGATCCAGCTTACACCAGATGCTTTAATGGAAACTGAAAGAAAATATTTTGTTCCCATGCATCTAAACGTAGCAAACTATAGCTGTGTACGTTGGGCTAGTTAAAGTGGTCCTAAAAAGAAGAAACAGCTCATGCCAAGTGCGATGCAAGATTTGCTGGACCTCAAATTTATGCGCTTTTCTGTTTCCTTCATTATTGCGCTGATGGGTCAAACCATTCATACGTTGTGGACTGAAAGATTTTAGAGGGATTGTGACAAACATTAATTGTTTTAAGCGTAGGCACCCCTATGTGCGCTTGCATTGTTGTTGATGTACGAAGTCGTGTAGGCATACTATATTAATGCACGTAGGTGCTATCAATATGCATATAGGCATGAAGGCATACCTGTGTAACTTTCCGAAGATCTCACAATTCATGAGCTCTTCAAACCTGTTGTCGAACCACCGATGAACCCTACTCCCCAAATCAATCATCCGGACTATTTCACATAGCTCAAACCTCGGCAATTTACAGAAACGCCACACGATAAAACAACATCGTAAATCAGCGGGGCCGTCCCGAAATGATCCGTGCAAAGGTCGACAGTCGAAAGGGACGGCGACCTTTCACAACTCACTCCAGTTGCCAGCTTGTATCTTCATAATGGAGATTAACAGCCAACGAGAACGGAGCGCATGCCAAGTCAGAGATACACCCCGTATCTAATTCTGAAATATAAAGATTCTAACGCGCCGCCGTCTCTAAAAGCCGTCACGGATACAGGCGAACTTGACCCACATGTGACAGATTTGGCGCCTGCGGCGGCACGATGGCGGGAGCCGTGGTGGAAGAGTGCCGCCGGGGTGATACCCCTCCGCCGAGGGAAGGTCACAGCCCCGTCCACGACATTCCTCGACGGCTGCCAGACGCAGGCGGCGGCTATTTTGGCCGTGTCGGACAGAAGGACGGCGGCGGAAGGACAGAGCGCGTGCGCCGACACTGGCCCACCGCCAGGCGGAGAGGCTAGACACCTTACTGGCGGCGACACACGCAGACTGTCCGGCCGGACCGCAGCGCCGGCCTGACCTACGCAACACCGCCGGCCGGCGCGCAGGTCAGCGCGGCACCGGCCGCTGAGCCAGTCAGTGGTCACCGCGAGGGGCTCTAACTCCGGTCCGGAGCATCAAATACGAGCGAGAACGGAACGTGAAAAATGAGTGCACAACATAGTTCATCCTTCGGAGGTTGTTAGCAGCATTAGCACGCTGTGCTGTCCACCGCGAATTTCTTACGGCAGAGATTCGACAACACACAAGTGTTTCTGACTTAACCCGCGCCCTGCTGGGGGGGGGTGTTTGAACACCCCCCCCCCTTGTGGTTTTTCGCGAATATCTCAAAAACGGCGGCGCGGAGCGCCGCCGTTTTTGGTACACCTTATCATACATCAATTCTACACATGTTGTGAAAATTTCAAAGAGCAATAGCATGTACAAAATGTATATCTCAGAATTTTCATATCGATTTTGCGACCTCCCCATTATAAGTCAATGGGAGAAAATTGAAATGCGCCTCTTTTGGATGAAAGACGTTATAAACACTACCAAACACCGAATTACAAGTGGTTTAGACACACTGAACTTGAAAATGGTGTCCGTGACCCTTGTTTATGCCCTGAGGTCATCTTAGGTCACGAATGGTATCTAACAGTTTTTCGCAAATAACTTTTGATAGAGGCATGCTAGAGCGATGAAAACGCCTTAGATGTGTTCAGCTCGACGATACGGATCGACTGATATGCAACATGACCCTTTCCGGTCAGGTCATGACATTGACCTGAGGTCAAATTTTTAAGTTGACCTTTCAAGGTCAAGTCATAGTTCATTCGATGCGTCTTGACGAGAGGAACACGATGCCGGTAAAAGTAAGCTCGTACAAGGCTTGGGTCAAAAGTTATTGCAGAAAAACTGTTTTCGAAAAAATCGGCTATTTTTGTATGTATGTATGTA